ATTTGCAGATTACAGGGCAACACCCCAACTCCGGTCAACGTCGTTCTCGCATCGGCAAACCAGAGGCATAGAACAGAGCAACTTTGCGGAAATCAATCCATATTCGACCATCTCTGAAATACTATATCCCGAATGATGAAGAAGGCCAGATGCCGCCAAGAATTACCGAACACCAAAAAGCTTGATACAACATCAATGAAGACTGTGGATTTTTTTTATTTTTTTTTTGTGAATAAAGATACGTTAAGTTAAACTTTGAAAGTCTCCTCCCCTCCCTCCTCTACTCATTATCCCTCTGTCCCTTTGTTGCCTCCGCCGAAAACAGTCCTCCAATGTAGGACCTCCTTTTCAGCCCCAACTTGGAACAGCCCCTCTCTTCCTCGCTATAATCCAAGAGACATTCAACTCCCACCAGAAGAATGCCCCTGCAAACCCCTTACCCTATTCTGCCCCCGCTGAGGCTATCCACCCCAACCCCAGAATAGAGCAACCCTCAACTTCTTGTTCGTCATTGGAGTCCTTTCGTTTCTGGTTCTTGCCTACTTTCCTCGCCTTGGGTCGTAGATCTTGGAAGTTGTCTTTAGTTGTGGGGATGGTTTTGTCCTTGTCCTCTGTTCCCTGGTCTCTTGCTCGTTTCTTTTCCGCATATCTGAAAGTCGCGTACTCAGAAAATTCTTCTGCCTTTTCCTTTTTGAGCATTTCATACTGATTAAAGGAATTGCTGATCCCCGCAATGGCCTCCTTCTTACCATTCACCTGAGGCCTCTCTTCGTGTTTCAGGCAGGCTACCCTGACATCAAATGCGTGTTCCCGTTCCCTTTTTGCCTTTTCCACATATTCCCTGAGCCAGGCCAATGATTGCCTAGATCGATCATCCTCGTCTGTGGAACCAGCGTCTGGTGCGTTGCTCCTCCCTTCTGGTTCCCCAATGCCCCCCATCAGATCCGAATCCATCGTTTCCTCTTCTTTTGTTGCTTCTGTCATTTTCACTCTTCCCTTCTTTAGACTCCCCTGCTTTCCTTCTCTTTGGGCCCATCTCCTTCTCCAACTGTCTGCAATCCCCGTGTAACGATCGCTTGTTGTCAATCTGCGTTTTATCCCTCCTTTTGTATGTATGTAGTTCCACTTGTTTAAGTGCCTCCCTGAATGTCGATGGTTCCTTGTTATATTCTTGCTCAATCTGTTCCCTTATGGTGTCCAGATCACACAACAGATCTTCCCTTGTCTTCTCTTCCCTGATTACCCGCGAGTCCGTGATGGAATTGGTGTTGATTTTCGTCGGGTTTCCTTTTACTTTCCTAGTTGCTTTCTTTTGCCACCTGCTGTCTGCTGGGGGGAAAATGTCCGTTTTTTTGACAGACGGTGTCTGATCTGCGAAATGCCACACCCAATCGGGTTCATCCAGATTATCATCAAAGACCCATCTGTCATAGCATGAGTCCGCCACGAACCATATTCCAGGCGCATCTTCCACTTCCACCAGCATGTTTGGTGGAAGCTTTCGTTCTTTCGATTGTTTTGGGAACTTTGGGCAGGTAGGATCAGTTCTCAGGTGACCCCGCTCTCTGCAGCGGAAACAGATGGGTGAGGTTCTGGTTGATATCCTTACCTCCACCAGCCTGTTTTCTATCTGGAATTTCCAGTCCGGTGGGAAAACTGGAGGGTCATCTGTTTGCACATCAAGGATCGTTGTCCTGGTTCCGCAGTGCGGAGCCAGAAATTCTGGCGTCGGTAGAATCCATTTCAAGATCTTGTTCGTTGTATACTGTCTCTCAAGTCTGTCGACCAACATACCGTGAAAACCAGGCTGAATGTTATCAAACTGGACCCAAAAGTTTTCCTTCAGCGAGTTTGTATGTAGGAGACTGCGAATACAGTGGGTTTTGTCTTTGGACTGACAATTTTTTCCATCTAGTGATGGTGCAAACTGATCCGTGACAGTTTCTGGATTGCATTTCGGCTGCGATCCGTGCATGGTCCTCATGGATAAAGATTACCATGATGTTGTTCCGTCCCAAGCTCTGCAATGAGTAGATGTCCCCAATCTCTTTGAGTTTCGGTTCCTTCTGATTGTGCCAATTATCCATTTCCTCTTCTCCGTTGGCTGGAGATCTGCGCCGTGGCGTGCAAAGTTGAAAACTACTCCATGTTTTTCGTGTAGATCGTCCAATTCGGCGATCTTTTCTTCTGGGTATTTCCCGATAATCACCTCCTCTTCCTTGCATCCTATCATCTGTTTTTCGGTTGACTCGATTCCTTGAACCTTCATCCTCTCTATCAAGCATTTGAGAGCTTCGTTATCGATGATATTGACTGTCTTTTCCAGTGCCGTCTGATCAGTCGGGCCCGTGCCTTGAGTTAGATTAGCCATCTTCCAATTAGCCCAACCCTCTCTCGCTATCACTATCTTGTCGGGGGGGTCAGAAGAGAGGGTAGTAAGTATCGTAAAATGATCTTACTAAGGCCGTCGTTAAAGGGGTGGGTCTGCCTGGAAGGGGTAGAAATGGACTTGTTATGAGATGGGGGGGTGGGGGCAGGATTATGTATTAAACTGGGGTGAGTATCTAAGACGGGGTCGCGCTGGGACCGGTTGGGGTCAAGGACGTGGTTGGACCAGGTGAAAGCATCCTGGGGGCGTGGCGTAGGATCAGGATCGGGGTGGGTGGGTGTTGGGGTGGGATGGGATTGGAGTCAGGCGAGAGTCGAGGTGGGTCGGCATCAGGGGTGAAGTGGGAGCAGGTGGAAGTCAAGGTGAGTTGGGATCGAAGTGGGTCGGGATCGGGTGGGAGTCGAAGTAGGTTGGGATTGGGATCGGGAGGGAGTTGAAGTGAGTTGGGATGGGGATCGGGTGGGAGTCGGCGTGGGATCGGGTAAGAGTCGAAATGGGCCGGGATCGGGATCGGGAGGGAATCAAAGTGGGTCGGGATCGGGGGCGAAGTGGGGGCGGGTGGGAGTCGAGGTGAGTTGGGATCGAAGTGGGTCGGGATCGGGGGCGAAGTGGGGGCGGGTGGGAGTCGAGGTGAGTTGGGACCGAAGCGGGTCGGGGTCGGTAGGGAGTCGAAAGGGGTTGGGATTGGGATCGGGTGGGCGTCGAAGTGGTTTGGGATCGGGATCGGATGGGAGTCAAAGTGGGATCGGGTAAGAGTCGAAATGAGCTGGGATCGAGACCGGGAGGGAATCAAAGTGGGTCGGGATCGGGGGCGAAGTGAGGGCGGGTGGGACTCGAGGTGAGTTGGGGTCGAAGCGGGTCGGGATATGGGGCGAGGTGGGAGCGGGTGGGAGTCGAGGTGAGTTGGGATCGAAGTGGGTCGGGATGGGGGGCAAAGTGGGAGCGGGCGTGAGTCAAGGTGAGTTAGGATCGAAGTGGGTCGGGATCGGGTGGGAGTCGAAGTGGGATGGGATTGGGATCGGATAGGAGTCAATGTGGGCTGGGGTCGAAATCGAAGTCGAAGTGGGACGGGATCGGGGTAGAGATGGGATCGGGTGGAAGTTGAAGTGAGTCAGGATCGGGAGTCGAAGAGTGGGAGGGGAATGGGTGGGAATCAAAGTGGGTGGGGATCGGGATCGGGTGGGAGTCGAAGTGGGTTGGGATTGGGGTCGGGTTGAAGTGGGTTGGGGTCGGGATCGAAGACGAAGTGGGTTGGAGTCGGGATCGGGTAGGAGTCGAAATGGGATCGAGTGGGAGTCGAGGTGGGTTGGGATTGGGATTGGGAGGGAGTCGAAGTGAGTTGGGGGGTGGGGTTGAGATGGGGATGGGTGGGTCGGATGGGATCTGGTGAGAGTTGAAGTGGGTTGGGATCGAAGGATAGGGGTCGAAGTGATTCGGGTTGTGGCGAGATGGGATCGTGTTGCGGTTGCGAGATAAAATGGGAGGAAACGGGCTGGAATGGGACCGGGACGGGAAAGGGAATGGGGTCGGTGCGGGAGAGGGCGCGTGGTAGAATGAAGAAGGGATCGGGACAGGGATCGAAGAGGGAGCTATATGGAGGCCGGGGTCGGGGTAGGATAAGGACTTCGGAAGTGGTGTAGCGCGATCGGCTCAGAGTGGGAAACCGGACTTGGGACGGGAATGGGGCAGAGTGGGAGCTGGATAGGGACGAGATATGGATGAGGGGAACAAGAAGGGACCGGGGTGGGTTAGTGGGGCGTTGGGAATGAGGAAGGGACGCGTTTAGCTCTCACTCGAGTGAGACCCTGATTCTCGGCCGGTCCTTCTTTGACGGTCGGATAGCTACGATGGCGAAGTGTGGAGGAAGATACTTCAAGAACTCGGCGATGGTTCCTCGTCGACGGCCGATGGTCTCCTTCTTGCCTTATGGAACTGCACCTCCTGCACTTGGGGCTTAGCTGGCTGATGATGTGGGCGTCCTCTGAAGACGTTAGCAGGACTTCGAGCCACTGTACTCTTCGAGGGATCTCGGGTGAAATCACGGCTACCCTCGGCTCGCGCGCACGGGCGTGGCACTGTCCTGGACGAGGCGCGCGCACGTGCAAGCACACGTAGCCGTAAGCTATGGCTGGACGGGTCGCGTGACGGTTGCCCCTGCGGGCGACGAGCGTCGAGTGGGGGTACGGGCCTAGCGCAGTGTTGCGCTAACCGAGCGGCGCGGTCGCGAAAGTCTTGGAGCAGAGTCAGTCAAGTAAAATCCTGGTATTCCGGTATTCCCATCTTTAAGTGGGGTACAGATGCAGTTTTCCCTGAAATAAATGATCGATACGGGATCGTGGATCGCATATATGCGGTGATGAAACTTGAAACAAATGATAGCTATGCATCAAATATGCGAATGTCCTGCATCTGGCAGTCAACATTTTCAGATTTCCAGAACTCATGTGTCCTTTTTTATGAATCTGGTACGTGTACTACGTGATCATTTGCCAGTTTTTGATTCTGCAGCAGCAAATTCAACTCCCCTCCACTGTGGCCAAAAAAAAATTCTCAAATCTCAAATCGCGATGTGTGTCAAATTCTCTCAATGTGTGCGTGGTCACGTCTGCAGTTCTCGTCGTCCCAAGCAGTTGCAGCGAGCGAATGGAGCTTTCTTGGAGGGAGTAAGAGGGTCTGTCTGTGCATGCCCCCTACTGGCTTGAGCTTTGGGAGGGGTGTGACCGCAACAAGGCAAAGACTCCTCGTTTTTGTTGCCAATGCATCGCAACCCGAGAAACCTGAGGGAGAGGGAGATGACGACGAAGCAGGTGACAATGCAAAAGTCAAACTCTTTACCTTTTCCAAAGCAAGAAGATGGTTACCAACTGGCCCGTCGTCCCCCAAACATAACGCACGCTCATTTTGACTGTATCAGGCCGGAAGCATACCTTGTATACGTTCATTTTCAGGGTGCGTTGTGTTCGGGGGAAGACACGGTAGCTCAGTTAGTACACCCCTGAACTGAGCTGTTAAAATACAGACCTGAGTTCGAACTCCACTGAAAGCAGATGATTAAAATACTGCAATAATAGTACAATTCTGAATTCAAAAAAAGAAGTATCCCTAGTTTGGGGGCAATCATCAGCCTCTTCACCCTGCACCTTAATCAATATGAAAGTCCATGTGCTGAGCAACAAAAAGCATGCTCCCTCCTCACTGACCCCACTTGTGTTCAGTGTTCACAGCTCCTGTTTCTCCCTCTCCATATGCTGGCTTCCCTCCTCCCCCCCCCCCCCCCCCCCCCCCCCCCCCTTCTTTGATGGAATAGTCCCCATCAAAGGCCCCTGAACATGATAGTCCCCATCAAAGCCCTGAACATGCATTTCAATGCAGCAGGATTTGACACTCTTGACCTGTTTATCAAAATTTAGTGGTACTACTATGTACCATTAAGCAACCTGGCAGGTACACCAGGAACACGTATTTCAATCCAGCAGGGTTTGAAATCTTGACTGGTTTATCAAAAGTTACATGTACTGTGTAGTATGTACCATTCAGCAACCTGGGGCCAGGTACACCAAGAGCTGACTTTCTGCAGGTCCTTTCTGGGATCCAGCAACTGTCCCCAGTTGCAGGCTGGCATGCCTCTGTTGCGTTAAACAGAACCTGTCATGCCGGATGAATGACTCCCACTGTGATCTCTCGGTTGAGTCTGTTCCTTTGGCCTGTACAGGGGACATCAGGGCTGCTGACAAATATATGCAGGATGGTGATGTTGACGAGCTTTGAAGATCCATGCGGGGGAATTAAACCACCAGTACACCCCGGCCTGGCGGTCTTCCACTGCCTGCCGAGCTTTTCTGAGCCGCCAGTGGCATACTTTTTCCTTTTTTGGCTGGCGCCACCAGCCATTGTGGTCCGGTAGCCCCGAGACGTCATTTTTTTTTCGTAGGTGATGAAAGATTTCTCCACAAGGCTGGGGTCGTGCACTGGCGGCTTAAGACCCTGTTGATTTGTTTGGAAAGGGGTACTAGTGCCTAAGCCTTATTGCATCGATCCATCTGATTCATCCTCATGAGCTGTTAATGAACAGTTACATGCGTTTACCGCTCAGCCACGTGGGGTGGGTATTAAGACCCTGTTCAGGTTGGACTCTGCTTGGACTTAGTGAAGATTGACATGGTTACAAGCGTGGGATAGGCATCCTCGTTCTCAATGCCATGCTCTTTTTGCATAGCCGCTTTAGTTCGTCATGCTTGCATGCCGCCAGTTGCGCCTTCGTCATCTCCCCCATCTTGCTGAAAGTCAGTTGCCCACTTTGCTTTCTTCATCAAACTACAGTCTTCACCCGAATAGAACGCCCGGTCATTATAGCCGTATTTGGTGCAATTTTTAGTCCAGATGCGGCTATAATGACCGGGCGTTCTATTGGGGTGAAGACGGTAGCCTTGGTGTTGCGCGACTGTGGTGTTGGTCTCCTGAGGCTTCCCGCCAGTCGCAATTTTTTGCTTTCATTGGCTGCCACGTCGTCCTTACCGCTGGCCGCTTAAAAATCCCTTGCATCAGTCGAAGGCTGACTGTCCAGTTGCCCTTCAGGTCTAATGGCTCTATCACTACACCTTGTTAGAGAGAGGGCTGGTACAAAGGCTTATGAGAGGAACAAAAGTCAAAACAGTCAAAACGGGCCCGACAAAAAATAGTCATCTCTGGGGCTTTTTTTGGGGGGCCTCTGCTGTTTGAAAAAAGTGACCCATCCATTATCCCAAATGGGTTCGGTTCCTAGACAGATGAAAATCTGTATGGCTTGGTAGGGCAGGTCTGGAGGTAATGGTGGTTTTGTGACGAGGCAGAGGCAGAGCAGCGAGGCTGGGAGAGAGAGGGAGAGTGAGAGCACACACACACAGAAGCTCACTCAACTTGACGCAGACTCGACGGACTCAGACACAAAGTGGCAAAGTCGCAAAGTCGCAGTCTTGAATTTCCGAACACAATGTCGAAGCCCAGTCACACTGAACACAAGCACTGAGGCTGAAAAACTGCCCGTACTGTGTGTGAGTCCGTACTTTAAGTACCGGACTCAAGTACGGTCCTGAGGGCGAAGTGAAAATGCCTCAGGGCCGAAACTGAAAATCGAAAGTCTGAGAATGGGCGCCAGAATGCCGGATGGCGCCAGGTGTCCGAAATCCGAAAGTCCGAAAAGGAGGAATTTGAAAACGGGCGCCAGAATGCAGATGGGGCCAACTGTCCGAAATCAGGAAAAGAAGAAACAAAGTAATACAAAAGAAGAGAATCGCAAAAACCAAAAAAACTTTAAAAAAGGAAATAAATACAGCAAGCTGGCGGGTGGTAATCCGCAGACCAGGGATCGAGCCCTGGCGGAGTCCGTAACAGGTTTCCTCACTTGTTCTTCTGTACCTCTGATCAATGACAGGTGTATGAGTGGAGTGATGTCTTTGGCACCGAAATATTTACACATCAGTGCCAGTAACCACCCTGTCCCTTCTCTCTCTCTCTCTTGTAGAGTTTTCCATCCGGTGTGGGTGAGTGATAGTCTACTTTGTTTTGGTTAAGGTAGATTATCATTTACAGTGTAATCAGTGAGGGGATTCTGCAGACTGTTGAGGGTTCAGCCTCCTGATGAGTCGGTGAAACTCCGACGAAACAGTTTGTCACAGCCCCTCGTTTGTTGTCCGCTTCTCCCTCTCTGCCTACGGTTTACCGGGCAGTTCTATTTGACGATATATATGTTTGACTATATATATAGGCCAACTAGCTCCAATTTCTACGGTAGGCGCCAGACTTGAATGAAAGAAAGCCCAAAAAAAAGCTACAAAAAACATTATTCTTCTGCTGTCAATTCTTCAGTCTTACTGCAGTCTATCTTCACTGCCACCTGGATATAGGGATGTAACAAGCACTGGGAATGGAAGAGGAGGGAGAGGGAGTGTATTACACATGCACAGACACTGAGACTCCTATGCTGTAAATGACTGGGAGTCTGGGACAGTGAACTGACAACCTATGAGAAAGGAGCACCACTCATCAAAGAATGAGCAAACTTGATTCCCCATTCGCATCCAATGGTTTGAGCCGGAGTGCAACTCAGGACGTCACACAAATGTGTGTTTGTGCCACATGTAACAGCGAGCAGCCTAACAAAAAGACTGGTGTCCGGGTTTGGGCAGAATTGGCCAGTATTAGAGGTGGGGAAAGGTCTGAAAGTCTGAAAGACAGAAATGTAAACTGTGCTGCTGAGGACACGCTGGAGAAATGAACTGTTGGGTACCCAGGAGGAGGTCCACGGATCAAGCCCTCACCTGAACCATAACGGTCAACGTATTCATGGCTACTGTAGGAGCACGCAGGCTATGGTGTTCCTGTCATGAAACTTTGCTTACCAGCAGTCATGGTCATGACGAAAAGCGCTGCTAAGTAACGTTAACTCAAGATTGAAATCCATGCAGCAGCAGAAAAGCAGCCAATGCAGCAAATTGCAGGACTGATATCATTTCCAATGTGGCCATGAGTCCACAAGTCCAGGATTTAGATGATCTCCCATGGCCCATGAGCCCAATAGTCCACCCAGAGTGACCAAATACAAGAGGCAATCTGAGTCAAAATAAATAAAGTCCTGTTTGGTGTCAAGACTCAAAAGGAAGGCCTGTGGGGGCGTCTGGTCAAGTGTTGTTGAGTAGCATCAATGGCAAAGCCCACAGCCGAAGCACACATACTAGCATACAATCACAAGTCAACGAAGAGAAGAAGACATGTAGATAAGAGGAGGAAGGAAGAGGGGAGAGCATAGAAAGTGACGAGTACAGAATTCATCCCGAACGCGACTGAATTATAAAAGCATCGTGAAAGAACTGACGGCTAGGACCCGACGTTTCGGCCGGCCGCCACCGGCACTCCTCAGGGGTCTTAAGTCGCAAAAGGTAAGCAACTTCTCGTTCTGAGTACTATTTGTACTCAACAGAAGACCCACGTCGTAGAGAGAACACTGCTAAAAAAAGTCCGAGTACCACACCGTCACTGCCACAGTCCACAAACAGACCAACTGGTGGGCCAATGTATCAAGCCCAACCCTACGTACCAAACCATCGCGTCCGCTACCAACAAAAGATCAAGTCCTCCAAAAACATGTTGGATATGCTAGCTGTCAGGCCCAACCTGCAAACACTGAGCACTAGAAACCTTATAGCCACAGGTTCGAAGCCTCAATGCAACAATCCTGAGCTAAAATCATTTCCACGTTTACACGGGAACACCTGACCACAGTTCGAAACTGAACCCGCTACTACCTATTACTCATATAGACCTTCTGCGACCAACCAACATCCTGAAACACCTCCCCTGAAAGTTCGAGCACACAGTTCGACCGCCCGCACAAACATCATCATTTGTCAAAATCTGCACGAGCACGCCAAAACAGGTCCCGTTACACAATGCCAACCCATCATCTAGCACGTAATCCGCCTGAGAGAGGAGGGAAAAGGTTCCATCACATGAATTGACCCATGTAACTTCGTCAACACGTCACCCCATCCGGTCAGAATAGACACCCAATGCCCCCAACAACCTGCAAACTTTTGAGAGAAGTTAGCAATAGCATGATCAAAGAAATCGTCCGGATATCTGCGTACCCACAACTCATATTTCAGCAGCAGTAAGAAGGGAAACTCGAGACCTTGAACGGACGTGTAAGTACGCGCCTGATGAAGGAAGGAACCGATGACCGCAAGCTTTTGCTGCCTGCTAGAATACGAAAGATAGTCTTGAATACTTTGAAACTGCAGGGGTTGATTAATCCATGCCTTCTGATTCTTGTGAGTTGCCGAACATACCACCCTGCAAGGATTGACCATAATCTCAACATGACACCCACTGAATTCCCACGACTGTCCAGAATTGGTCTGTTCTAACGAAAGACCGCGATCATAACATCCACGAAATTGTCCAATATGTGCACCGCCCGTCCCCGCTCCAGCTCATCTTTGACTGTAGCATATCAGAAAGTGAAATGCACTGAAAGCCTAGGATCTAGCAATGACGAAAGTGGCAACAACCAGCAGCATAGGTGCAACATTCACAAGGTGTCAATGTGCGCGACGCAAAGAGTGAAACAACGGGAAATCAATAACAACACATTCGTATCGTCATCATCATAGGCTGGGAAGCAGCGCAGCGGAAGATCTAGTATCAAAGGACACGTGGACAACAACA